GTGAAGGTCGTGGAAAAGTCCATCACCTGGAAACCTCCATCACCCAAGACGCCCCGAGAACAGGGTTCCGAAGAGCAGCTTTGCTGACAGAATATCACTGTAGCAGCTGGCTGTGGCATTGCTCATCACTTATTAGCAAATTAGCGTCTGCTTCACAGACACTGGATTATAATCTCCCTGAAGGGCAGTCATTGCCAGACTCCAGCGAAGTATCATTCCTGCGTCCCCTGGAGCCATTATTCCAGAAGCTCTGATGCAGCGCTCCAGACTCAAAGGAGCGGCCCATTGTACAGCTGGCAGCGCTCCTGTTGTTAGGTCCAAATGATACCAGGAGGCAGCTCTCCGCCCAGCCAGCGCGGGGCTCAGTGAACAGCCTGTGCAGGGGAAACTCGGGAGGGACCCGGCCCTGAGCTCTGCTCCTGGCCCCTCTCAGAGTTGGGCTCGCTTCTCCCCAGCCAGCTGATTCTCACTAGCTGGGGGAATAACAATGGATCCCTGAGTAGTTGTTTAAAATGCAAATTTGAGGCCTCCACCAGAAAACTTGACTCAGGGTAGGTCTGACCTGGGACCTGGACTCAACCCCCAGCCCCAGGGGGTTCCTGTGACCACTGGCCCACCCACAGTGGGGAGAGTGGGTGCTCCTGTGCAGTCAGAGGTAGGGAGACCCCGGTGTACCCACCAATGGCAGTGAATTTGTGGCTCTCACAGAAGCGCCCCTCTGGCCCAGTGACCTGCTTTCCTGGGCTGAGGGCTCAATCCTGGCCATACCTCGGTGCCACCCAAATCCCGCCATCTTCTCACTGGCAGGTGACAAAGGGCAGGTGGCTGAATCCAGCTTCTCCTGGGTAACAAAACACAGAGGCTGTGCAGCTTTGTGTGGGAACTGTGGGTGCTCGTTGCCAACAGACAAAGGCCGTCTCCGATGTAGAAATGGCCCACATGTGCTGGGATTGGCCTACGAGACTGCGTCTCACCTCCCGAGTGGAGAATGAGCGGGTATCCTCAAATTTTAGTGCGTGAGCCCAATGCCTGGAAGTGAGAGGAGTTCCCAGTCCTCTGGATTTTGCTCTAGAAGCACAGCAACAAGTGGGGTTCTCCACTGAGTGCCGCAGAGTAGCAGGAGGGCTGGTTTCTGGGGGGCTTCCCTGCCACGGGACAGTGCATTCTGAATGCCTCAAATCTACTTGCGAGCAAACTGGAACTTTATCAGCGTGTGAGGAAGGGATGGCCCGTGTGAGTCGGCCCCTGAAAGTCTCTTGGGGGAGTGAGGGGCCACTCCTGCCAGGCTGCTGGCGCTCCTGGCCAAGGACCCACGAGCGAGTTCACGGGGTGGTCCTTGAAGCCCTGGCCCCACCTACCCACCAGCAGCCAACAGCCTCCCCACAGAGTGCTGACCTGGAAGACAGACAAGTGTGCAAGGAAGTGTCCCTTGGCGCTTGCCGAGGAGATGCTCTGATGAGCCCCTGGACAATTCACTGGGAGGATTGGCGAGGAACCCCTGCCCCCAGGGAGAGGTCTCTCTGGGGACTGGGCCTGCCATGGAGAGCCTGAGCTCTGCTCTGTCACCCCAACATGCTGGACAGAGTCACTCTGTAGCACCACCGTCCCCCATTTTGTCGATGCTCAGGCCCAAAATCGCTTTAAGAACTTAGTGACCGGATGCAACAACCCTTTTCCAATTTGATTTGTATGTTGGATGCTCATGCGTATTTGGGGACCTATACTGCAAAGTCATTTAATTTTCGACGGAACTGGATCTTGATGCCAAAGCATAATGAAGCATTAAGAATAAAGCTTGAGGCCCTCCCTGGTGGCGCAGCAGGTTAAAGCATTGAGAAGCTAAAGCCACCTCAGCACGAGTTCAATCCCCCACCCCGGAGGTGACCCACATAGCACCGCAGACCTCTCCTGACCCGCTCGCTGCTCCCCTCAGCAGTGTACTTCGTCAGTTGGTCTGCTCTGCTCCCCACTGTCTCTGGTGAAGCCTCTCACGCTCTGCACCTCGGGCCTGTACCCCAACTTTGTATGCACAAATAAAATAAATCTCAAAAAAAGAATAAAGCTTGAGTTTCAAAGGAAAATCCCGTGAAACAGCAAAATGCCACCCATGCCGGGTGGGAGGCAAGAGAGCCTGCCCTCAGGTGCAGTTATTCAGGTGTGCACCTCAGAAAATTCAGGGTTCTAGCAAAGTCCCCCAGAGCCTGTCCTACATACACATGCAGAATCCTGAGCGACTCGGCCACGAAGGCCCGGCAGGCTCAGCTGTGTCTTTGGAAGAGCGAACGCCGATGCCTGTGAAGGCGGAGCATGAGAGGAGAGAAGGCTGCAGGCGCCCCTGAAAACACCAAGTCCATCTGGGTTCACGTTGGTAACCCCTGGTGCAGCAGCGTGGGGTCCAGGCTGGTTCCGGCACCCCAAGCCCTGAGCACGCAGGCCAGGCTGTCCACCGCCGGCCAAGGCCCCCGCGCCACTCGCCTTCCCTCTGCTGGCGCCTGACCGTGGCTCCTGGCTCCTCCCACCCACGTGGGGATAAAGCCGGAACAAGGGCAGAAGTAAGTGGCGAGACAGGGGGAGGGCGGCTCTCCACAATTGCCCTTTCTTTTCCAGCCAGCACTGACACCCATCCCGCCACCCCTCCGCCTCCCTCCGCCCGCTCCTCCGTAGGCCGCCGTGGGGGTGAGCTGCGATTTCCCAACTGTGTCCTGGGCCAGCACACGAGGCCACTCAGGAGCAGATCCAGACCTGCCGGCCCACGTCGATTACACAAGCCTTGGCCTGGAACGCGGAGCAGAGCGAGTAGGCACGAGGCCCCGCGCATTCCACCGCGGCCGGCGTGTCTGATGCCTGCAGGGTGCCCACGGGCCTGGCGCGGCTCCCGCTCCTGCAGGCGCCCGCCCGGAACACCCGCAACCCGGTGTCCGCTCTTACGCCCTCCGAGGGCCGGGCGAAGGAAGGGGAGCTGGGGGGTCTTTCCTCCCGCAGCCAGAAAGGGGGGCTGGTCTTTGCCCTTTCTCCCATAGATGGTTAGCTGATGAACCTTCAAGAATTAATTCATGTGTAAGGGGAGCTTGTACATACCATTCAAATGAGCACACAACGTGAAAACAGCAAACCACAACTCCCAGGATATAATAGAAACAGGAGCCTAATAGAACACTCAAGCCCAGCAAAAACAAAAAAAAAAAAGAAAGAAAGAAAAAGGCTGTTGGCTCCGATTCCTCTCGAACCCCCTTCCTCGGGCACCCTTCTTCTCTCTGTGCTGATCACAAACTTGCTCACTGCTGGGGACACACACAGCCACACCCCCAAAAGAAGCCAGGATAAATCTTAACTCCCATAAACAGGAACTTTATTAAACTGCATGTTACATAAAAGAACATATAAATGAGCCTTTAAATACATTCATCTTACACAAATTTATATAGAAATTTATTTACATTTTTTTCTTATATACTTAAATTATATTTCCAAGCTTACTACCAATAAAAGGTAATAAAATGATCACCTGCTCACACAGATGCATACACAGTTGTCCACAGGGCGAAGTGAGACACCACATTCAGCTTACTGGGTTCTAAGCAAGAACCCAGTCGCAAGCGCTCTCTTCTGGGTGCATCTCTGCAGCAGAGATGCCGGGGGGTTTTGGGGAGCTGGTTGTGGGCACAGACTGCGACTCTGGGGAGCTGGGAGGACCCTGGGGGCCCCCAGTCGCACAGCCTGGAAAACGGCTTAGGGAGCGGGAGTGACCAAGGTCACCGTTATCGGTGATCAGCAGGGATACGGACCTGGGTTCCTAGGGTCCGGACCCCATCACTATCCATAGAGCCAAATGGTCGACCCCTTCAGCCATGTCCTACCCACCGCGGGCCCTGTTCTAAACGTTGCGGAATGCATGGTTAATGATCTGACGGGTTGGGCTTTTGAGGCGAACACGTGCGGGGTCCCCTGCCCTGAGGAGCCAGACACACCTGCTCAGGGCTGCCACAATCAGGTGTCTCCCGTCCTCCACCTTCGAGCACGCCGTGTCCATCTGGCTCCCCGGGGAGCCCACAGTTTCCGGGACGGGGGGGGGGGGGCAGGTGATGTTCTCACATGCCTAATCCCATCTCCTACTGCCGGATGTAGATGGAGGTTTCGCTAACATGACCAAAGTGAGAAAGGGGGAGCAACTTTAAGCTGTCACGAGTTCCATTTCCCCAATGTGTCTCCAGGGGAGAAATGGGCACTGGTTAGGAAAAAGACATGTCTTCCCTTCTTTTGAATGAAGCCTGACTTTTCCCTCCAAAATTTACCTGATGACATAAGTTCTTCTCAAAGGAATTGCACTGAGGCGGGGGTGGGTGGGGGCTGTTTTTAAAGCCTGTTTTTCTCAGGGTTTAAAAACCACTGTAACCAAAAACAAAAAACAAAAAACAAAAACAGAAAAACAAACAAACACGTGACATTGAAAATACTGTCACGGCATGGGGGTGGGGGGGTGGGGTGGGGGGTATTTCTCCCTGTAACCAGAGTGAACAAAAGTCTTAGCAGCCTCCACTGTTTTATGACAGATTCACAAATGAGAACGCCCAGCATGGACAAGGTATGCTCAGCTCAACAGTCCCTGACGCCTTTCCATTCAACATGGTACTTCTAGATTCTGGAAAGCCCGGCATTCTCCGAGGGCTGTCACCCAGCCGCTGCGGGGGCCCCCAGAGTACCCGCCCTGAACACACAGAACTCCGGGTGCCCATGGGAGACCATCCCCCCCTCCCCGCCTCAAGCGCCTTCACCCAAGTCACCAGAGGAGAGAGGTGCGAGGCAGCAGGCCTTGAAGGGGACGGTGGCCGCCACAGAGCACCCCGGGCCTAGAGTCCAGCTGCCAGCAACGGACTGTGCAACCCTGAGGCCAGGGATTAAAAAAAATCTTCCTAGTAAGGGGTTTTCCCCTGTCTCCCTCCCCCCTCCCCCTGGGAGGCAGTTCACTCTGCCAAAGGAGCCAACTAAAATAACATTTCCATTTTATAATAAAAAAATAAGTCTTTGATATACAAAAAACTGGCCAGGCATCTTTTTCTACTCGTTTCATGAGAAGGTCCCCTTAGGTGTCTGAGTCAGCGGGTCTCTGGGGGCGAGCGGGTGGTGGGGTGCCAGCCCATCACAGTAGTCACTGAGGTTGGGGTTCACAGTGGGAGTTGGCGCAGCAGGAGGACCCGGGCTGGAGCTTCAGTGACACCGGCCTCGCCAGCCGTCCAGGTGGGGCGCGGGGTGTCGGCCTCTGCAGCAGCCAGGCTCCCCATCTGGACCCCAGGAAGGGTGACAGGGCAGACCCCGTCACTTCCGCAAGGGGTTGAGGATTTTCCCCAGCGTGGTCCTGCTGGAGTCTTTCGGCCTGAGCGACGCCCTGTCCCCAGGGCCTCGGCCCTTCAGCGCGGCTTCTGTGTTGACCCGGGGCCCTGACTCCGCAGGCACTGGGCTCTTCTGGGGGGCCCGGGCGCTGCTGGCCCGCCGCAGGGCACTGCTGTCTTTGCTGGTGGTGTCTTCGGGGACACCCTTCACCCTCAGCTGCCGCTGGGAGACTGTCCTAGTGATGGGTCTGCCCACGGGGGGAGGGTCCGTTTTCATGAGCCGAGAGGAGGAGGCGACAGTGTTTCGGGCAAAGCTTGGGACAGGGGGTGGGGCCCGGGGGGTGACGGGGACCGGAGGGGGCTGCAGCTCGTCATCGTCGGGGCTGTCGGGGCCCTGGGAGTTGGGGCGGCCGATCTTGATCTCTTCGGGCTTCTGCCTGGGGACGTTTCTGAGGGGCTTGGCGCTGGGCTTCTTGAAAGAGCCCCGGTGTGGCAGCGAGGGCTCCTTCCCGGGCCGGGCGCTGACCGATCCGCTGGCCCGCGGCAGCCGCTGCTCCTCCGTCCCCGTGGAGGGCCTCCGGGGCGACGTGTCCGCGGTCCCCTTCACGGAGCTCCGGCGCAACCACGGCGCCTCTGTGCTGCTGGGGGGCTCCCGTGGGGGCCGCTTCCAGCCCCCCGAGCCCCGGCTGGACCTGGAGATGGGCACCACCTTGCGCATGCTCTCGCTCTCCGAAGAGGTCAGGGTCCGCACGGGCTTGGACCCAGCTGCCCCCGGGCTGCGCCGGGCACCCCCGGGCTTGGGGGCGCCAAGGGGAGCCTCTTTGAGGGAGTTTCTCTTTGCTGCAACCACCTCCTTCCCCTTGCCCAGCCTGTCCCTGGGAAGGCCAGCCTTGGGGTTCGGCCCGCTTTTCCCGGCCACAGCAGCAGGGGCCGCACCCGTGGGGCTGGGGGTGGAAACCTGGCTGTTCCCCGGCTCCCCAGCCCCAGAAGACACAGAGCCGTCCCCCTCGTCGCCCGCTCCGGGCTGCCCTCCCTCGGGCCTGCGGCTGGCGCCCTCTGCGCAGTCCACGGTCAGAGAGCAGCCGGTGGTGTCGGAGATGTCGAGCAGACGTCCCGGGTCTTCCTTCGGAGGGTCACTGCTGCCCACGGGCGCTGGGGCCGCGCTGCTGGGCTCCAGGGCAGCCCCGTCCTCCTCCAGGGCCGAGAGACGCCCCTGGGCACCCCTGTCCACAGGCACCGGGCTGCCCTTGCTGACCGCTGGAGACTGCAAACTCCTGTCCTCCGGAGGTGCCAGCTGCACTGGGTGGACCTCATTCAGGGTCAGCTGCACTGTCCCCTCGGGCTGCCTGGGGCTCTGGAGCTCGAACTGGGCCAGCCCGGTGACCAGCTCGTGCTCCCTAACCCCCAGAGCCAACGGCGAGAGTGGAGGGGACCAAGCCGGGCCCAGGCCCACAGGCTCACTGTTCCTCTTTCGCAGGACACTGACCCCTCCCCGGCCGGCCCCGGGGTCCGCAGAGGCAGGGTCCCTAGGCCAGGGCGCCGGGAAGGGCCTCCTCCAGGCGGGCGGCGGGCGGGCGGCGTCCTCCTGGCTCTGCGGGGCCTGACGGCTTTGCGCCTGCAGCCAGGCTGCGTCCCTCCGGCCTCCAGGCTCCGTCCAGGCTGCCATGGGCTGGGCCTGGAGCGGGCTGCTGCCCGGCAAGCTGCTGCGCTGGCTGAGCGGCTCGGGGCTGCCCGTGGAGCCCTCCAGGAAGGTCAGCAGCTCCCGGTCGGCAGCGGTGGCCAGGGAGAGGCGGGAGCGGCGGGTGTTGGGGGGCCGGTGGGAGGGGCTGACGGGCCCGGTGTGCAGGAAGGGGGGCAGGTCCTCTGCGCCCTTCTGGCTCAGCAGCTCCATGTCGTTCTCGCTGTTGCTCCTGCCGAACCCGCCCAGCTCCCCCGCCGCCCAGGACCGCCGCTTCTGCTCCAGCTCCTTCAGCCGCCGCTGCTGCCTCTGCTCCTGCGCCTCCCGCTCGAGGTTGTCCTGAGGGAGGGTCCAGAAGAAGCGAAAGCTGCATGAGACGCCCGGGACCCTCGTGCAGCTCCAGAGCCGCCTCCCTGGAGACTCCCACGACTGGGACCTGCTGGCCGACCGCCCTGCGGAGGGGAGGGGCCTGGCAGGAGCACGCGCCACCCCGCAACCTGAGATCTTGTGGGGTCCCTGGGCCCAGCCTGCAGCTCTAAGGCCCTGCGCCCTCGGTGTGGGCTGGGATGGCGCACGCAGCGTCTGTGCCAGGCGGTCGCCTGGCTCAGGCAGAGGGCACTTTCGGAAAGAGCTCTCAGGGCGACAGCAGAGAAAAACAGCACAGTGTTGAAAAGGGCCCCAAATGGACCCGTGTCTCAAGGACAGGGTTTCACACACTCATGCCTGCACGCACGCCCCTGTGGGCGCCTCCTTTCTCAGACTGCACCGGGCAGAGGAACCCCAGCAATGCCACTTTGCCCTGGCCCAGGGGCACTCGGCCCGCGACCAGGAGAGGGGATTTGCTTCCTAAATCCTGCCACCTGGCACGCCGGAGTGCCTGCCCCCCACCAACGGCTGAAGCCACACCCCCGAGCTGGCTCCCCGCCTGGCCCTGCACTTTCCGTATGCCCAAGTCACAGAAATGCGCTTGCACAACCCCGGTCCGTTCTGTTTGCGCTGTTAACTCGACAACCGGCCGCCAAAGGGACTTCCCCTTGCAGGTCTCTGGGAGGCTCTGGCTCTGCCTGGTCACCCCGGCTTCTCCCGCGGCTCTGGACTCGGACCCCCGCCTTGCCAGGGTGTCTGCACGCACACATCCCCGGGGCCACACCCCAGCTCAGAAAGAGTCAACTTGGCCCCCCACCCACCCCGCCTCCCTCGCTGTGCTCACTGCTTGGAGTAGGGGTGTCCGCCTGGCTGGCTCCCTGCTGGAGCGAGAAGGGAGGGGTGGGGGGCTCAAGTCACTCTGGGCTCCCACTTAGGGCTGGAGAGAAATTGCACCAGCCCCCGATGAAATTCTGCAAAGGACAAATCTGCCCTTCAAACACAGGAGGGATGATGCACAAGTATCTGATTTCTCATCTCCGCTGAGGGGACGTGAGGTGGGTGTTTCTCACTGAAAGCTTTATGTGCAAAGTCAAGTACCCAGAGAATTTTCTGGCTTCCGTACTGACCTCAGAGATTACTGGGATCAGAGCCTGATGGGCAAGAAAAATAGCTGCTATTGTTAGCACTTCGGACAGCAACGACTCTTCAAGATTAGAGAGTTCCGAAGCCTGACCTGGGCCAGGGCAGATCAGGTGGTCTGGCCATGGCTACGGCCCTTGGAAGGGGTGAGGGCCTTCCAACGATCCCACCCCAACAGAGGTCTCCCCGAAAGAGGATATTCTCTCCTGCAGACAGGACTTTAATCCAGTGACCGCCATCGTAAATACGTGCCCCGGAGCAAAGGCTTCCAGGACCTCGGCGCCAGTGGTGGTGTAAGCTGCTGGACCCTCGCGAGCCACAGCCGCTGGCCACGCTCCCTGGGCCCAGTCCCCCCGAAACCACGGAAACGCTGGACCATCTTTCCGCCATGGGCAGACGGCTGGGTCCGGGAGGGCGGCAGTGAAAAGACACAACTCTGAAACCCCCGAGACGCCATCGGCCGTACCTTAACCGCTTTGTTGAACTTGACACAGAAGTCCCTAAATATCTGAAGGCATTCGTCCAGTTTCATGGTTTCTTTGTCTTCGCAGAAAAAGTCTATCAGGGTGTGGGCCTCGTCCCGGAGCTCATGTTTCAAGTACTCCAAGTCCCTCAGCTTTTCCGTGGCACACTGCAGGAAGACAGACAAGGCGCGGTGAGCTGCTGAGGTGCCCGGCACCCTGTCCAGTGCCCGGGAGACTGGTGCTCCTGGCTGAGCGTTGGGTTTCAGCAAAGAAGATTCATGGCAAGTCCAACGTGCTCAGTGCCGAAGGGAAAATGAACCCCAAAAGGGCCCCAGGCAAGGTGAAAGCGGGTGAGGCTGGGAGATGATGAGCTTCAACCTGTGGCAAAAATGCCACAGGGGAACTGTGGCTTCGGCAGGACCCTCTGTCTCTGGCCTGCCACATCCTCTGTGGTTTGATGGTTTACCTAAGGCTTCCACGCCACATGTTTGGACTGACAAGCTGCCCTGTCCTGAGGACTGGAAACTCAATACCAGCTGTGTCAAGGTCAGTGTCACCCCCAAGGCCCAAAGCCATCAGCCAGGGCTGCTTCTCCAGGGTGTTTCTCCAAGTTCCCTGGGAAACTGTCCTACAGTCCATGCTTGTTACCCCCTTGACAAAATACCGTAGGCGTGGGGTAGGCTCACTCTGCTATGAAAGCAGGGGATTCCGTAGGGCACCCGCAGTTAGCAATTCTGCCTGTACAAGCCCACCCCCTTCTTCATTCAATGTCCCTCAGGCTGCTCCAGGACCCTGCCCCCCACTGAGAGAAACCTGCCTTCCTCCAGGGAGCTCTCCACCCTTTTGGATGGGGCTCTGCTCCGGTCAAGCGCACAGCAGCGCCGCCAGAGAACAGCCCAGTGACACACAGTGCCAGGCTGGGGTGCCAGCAGCCCGCTGGAGGCGCCGCAGCCTCAGGAGACCGACATTCGGGGTCACACCGGGGCCCCAGGTTGCCGGACTTTTCACTGGTGGGCGAGGCTGATGTGAGAAGGGACGTGAGAAGCACATCACACGTTCGCGTTTTCACGAAGGCTTATACCTGAGAGACTTCTTTAAGGGTGGGGGTGGGCCTAGGACGTGGGGTGCTCTCTAGGAAGTGGGTTCAAGGCAGGGTATCGCAGCTTAGGCATTAGTTCAGAACTACAGAACACATGGGGAAATTCGAGAAGACTTCAGCCTCATTCACTCCCTGCTCCTCTTACATCAGACCATTCAAGAGGTGGTAGAAAGCGAAACTATTCGGGAAACCAAATATCAGAGAAAGTAACCATCTGAGTTAGCGGCCCCAGGCTGAGTGTGGGTTCACTCTGGATTTCTCTTTATGGAGAAAAGGGTATTAATGAAAAGATAACTCTTTGCCTGTCATTCTTCCACTGAGGTTAAGGTGGATTCCAGCCAAGACCAGCTCAACTGCAAGAAAACAGCACTCCTGACAGGATCCGCCCCGGGGCTCGGTCCCCACCTCTGTCTCCCCCAGGTCCTGTGGGCAGAAAAGGCCACGGGGAAACACAGCACCCTGCAGTCACCTCAGGACTTGGAAAACTGAAATATGAATATGGGTGTAGAGAATAATATGTTTGCTAAGCGCTATTTTTAGATCCCTTCCCACAGCATCAGGGCCACAGAGGAGAAAGTCCAAAGTCACACGATCACTGGTGACTGATGGCAAATTAGCAGAGGTGGTACCATGCTCAACTTCCCACGCCAACCTGGGCTGACCGGTCAAAGTTCCAAACCAGTTTGCTCTGTTTCTCCCCCAAAAGGTCATAACACGGAAAATGACTTGCAAATCTGTTGCTATCATTTCAACTCAGAAATCTTGGTTGGTTTCCCTCCACTTAGAGGCCAAAGTCCCGTGATTTCACCCCGCATTCAGACCTCCAGGGCCCGGCCCTACCCGAAAGAATTGTGTCTCCCGACTTAAAAAGGCACTGACGTTATTAAAAAAGAAAAATAACTTGCTGTGGGGGACATTTCACTCACAGAGGTAAAATGACCAGAAAGGCGTGCGTAGAGCTCAAAGCTGTCCTCAAAGAGCCACCCAGAGGGATGGCTGAGATAGGGCCAGCTTTTACGTCACCCTTCACGTACTGCTCAGTGTAAGGTGTGAATATTTAATTAAGGGCTGGGGGGTGGGAGATGAGACACGGAAACTCTAGTCTCCAGGGGTGACAGGTTTTCTCCTTGAATCCCATGTTTATTGTGTGAATGTGCTTCCCGGGACAGTTTTCCTGCTATCAAGTGTCTCTGTGCTGGGTTGGCTTTGTTGTTTCACTTAAAAAAAAAAAAAAAAAAAGTGCATATTCAAGAGGACAGGAATTTTGGTTAAAAATGAAGAAAACACGGAATATGTGTTGAATGGTAAAGGCAAACTCACAGCCGAGCTAATAAGCGAAATGAGATGTCGGCTGACGGAGCTGAAGCTTGGGAGACTCGAGGCAACTACGAATAAGTGATACAGACATCAGAGCTCACTGCTCCCTCCCGGCCCACAGGGTGCCAGCCCAGGGCTCGGGCATTTAAGGAGCCCACCGGCCTACCAGCCCACCAGCCCACCAGCCCGCCAGCCCACCAGCCCGCCAGCCACTAGCCCGCCAGCCACTAGCCCACCAGCCACTGAGGACTACATTTTTTGAAATAAGGAAGATAAAAGAAATGACGTCAGACTCTGAGGAGTGAGTCACAATGAGCTGTCACAAACATGTCCACTCTGCTGTTTTCTGTTGATCTTATTTGGACACACCCTGTGGGGCTGATGTCTTGGGGTGCTGATAGGCACGGGGAGCCTGTGTTCTGTTCTTATTATAAAACATGCCAAGACGCAGCTTGTTTCTTCCATAAAAACAAGGGAAGGACAACAGATGGTTCTCGGGTGTGTTTACTGCTTCTGTCCAGAATGTTGATGGAGAGACAGGAATCGCTAAAACCTGGTTTTAGAACCAAACCCTGAGCTGCTGCTTCAGCCCCCTAAGCTGGTGGAAACAAATCACTAAGGCCACAGGGAGGGTCAGCCCCTGAGCAGACACCTCGGCTCAGGCCACACACGCCGTCTCCAGAGAAGGGGCCACTGAAAGAGTGAAAGTTCCTTGCACCGACCAGGGAGGAGCATGAATGGGAACTGGCTGCTTCCACAAACACCCGCGCAAGTCTAACCAGCTCGGGGTGCCCCTGGCAGGTGGGACGAGGGGGGCTGGCTGGAATGCACCACGAACCTTCAGGAACCCTTTCATCTGCTGACACAGCTCACTGTCCCACTGGATGTTCTCCTCCAGAGACCTCGTCCTGGCAGACAGCGAGTGCAGCTCCGCCTCCGTGCTGTCCAGAGACAACCTGGAAGAAGAAGGGGAGGTGGGCAGGCGGTGCTGGGGGCCGCCTGCTGTGGATGCGTCGGACAAGACCAGCCCGGGTGAGGCGAGACCAACGTGCGGAGGCCGCTGAGATGGCCTCGTAGTGAGGGCTCCCCCGGTGCTGTTGAAGAGGTGATTCCTTCCTCAAGATGCCACCTGTTCAAAGATGGCGCGAGATAACCCAAATCTCGGGGCTTGTGAGGCAATGTACTGACCGGCCTGAGCACCTCTGTGCCACAAGCCCTGGCACTGAAAGCTGGCAGAACTCAGGTTCTTACACTCCCCTCTGGTCACTAAACACAGACACAAAAGCTTCAACTCCGGAGACGCTGGGCAGCTATGCTGAGCTGCTGAGCTTGGGAGAGGGGGCGCAAGGCGAGGGGAGATGCCCAGGGCCTGCAGCTCTAGCCTAGCAGGAACTGGCACAGCTGGAATCCTGCAGGGCAGGGCATCTGGGCTGAGGCTTTTGTTATAAACCTCAGATCAAGGGCAGCGAGTGGGAATGGTGTTTTTCACACCCAGTAAAATGAAGAGTTACTAACCAGGTGGGATCCAATTAGCATCCACACACAGGAGGTGCCCTGCTCCCGCCATCAGCCCACTGTGCCATGCACCCAGGTCTTCAGCGCCGTTGGCACCCACCTACAACCACACCCCCCTAAGGGGGACCCCACTTTGTGACACATCAACAAGCCTTACTGGATAGGGCTGTTTCTACGCGAGCAGCTGGCTGGCCTTCCCCATGGAATGACTCTGATCACAAGTTATCCTTCCACAAACGCAATGGTTAGTCCTCTCTGTAGACGTCTCTTAGCTTTTTAACACCGATCAGAGGAAAACTCATCATATTTCTTTCAGTAATTCCACACCAGAACAGTTGCTATCTCCTAAAAGATGTTTATTCTTTGGGGGTGGGGGGGGCAATCTGATCTGTAAATGTGGACTGTGAGTTGCTCACGCCTCTGGGCGGATAATCTCACGCTGGAGGAGACTTGTAATCTGTGGTTAGATTTTCAGAGTCAGGAACCAGGGTACCCCAGCCAACAGGGCTTAGCTTGGCAAAGTCATGAGTCATGTGTTTGTGTGTATGGCTCAGGGCTGTCCTTACTGGATCCAGGAGCAGGGCCAACCTGAGAGGCGGAGAGGGGTGCCGGGGGAGCAGTTCTGCAGAGACGACGCTGGGTCCCTCTTCCCAGTGAGCCAACTGCGCCACGTCCCGTGAGTAGCCTAAGGCAGCAGCGCTGGCCCCGGGCAGTCAGCAAACGCTACAGATCAGGATTTGTTTCCCGAAAAGCCGGTCAGTAAACACTGACCCCTGGACGCATGGATATGGACTGCAAATTTCAAAGCGTAAAACTCCACCTCGCAGGTGTGCAAGGAGCGGCCCCATCACCACATCTGCATTAGCACCAGAAGCAGGTCGAAGGGTGTGAACAGAGCTCAGTGTTCGGCAGATACTTTCTCTGTCAATTCCACTGACTACTTTAGAACCAACCAGGTCCTGTCGGTCTTTGGTAAGGTTCCAACTTCTCATGTGGCAGAAAACAAACGTCCCCTGCTCGTTGACAAGGACACAGGAATGCACGGCCTCGGGATGGTTACTGGTGTATACAAACGTCAGGCTGTGTGGTTGAGCTCGGGCTTTGGGCGTGGTTACATTTCTCAACACAATGTGTATGTATTATACATTTCTTAAAGTACAATGTAATTCTTAATGTAAATTCTTAATGTATCTTAATGTAATGTAATTTCTGAATTTATAGATATAAATGTGCAATACATATACCCATGTATTATATTACCCATGTATATGTATTATATATTTCTTAATGTATCCACACCCAAAAGATAGAGCTCCCTTGTGATAATTCATCAGAAGAGCCTGCAATAAGGTTTTTTAGATTTAAAATAAAGATTGTTTTTTTAAAATCCCCAAATTCCAAAGGAGGACAGCGCACACACCTTGGGAAGCAAATGAAAGGCAGTTCCGAAAGTTCAACAGGATAAAGCTTTTAAAAGCTCAAACTTGAACCCGAAGCGGTTTTTATGAGAAGGCAGTTTAAGAAAACCCTTGAACCTCACAGTTCACTTTCGGCCTTCCCTACTTACCTAGAAGCCTCCTGCACGTAATATAACTTTTCAGAAAACTTCAGAAGAGTGACATCTTTCTTCTGAGCTTCCTGGAAGGAACACAGAAACAGAATTTTCTCTCACTCAATGGATAAAGCTGGAAGGAAAGAATTTTCTCAGGAAATAACTTTCACAGAAACTTTAAATCGCCGTTCTCACTTTCATGCTTGATACGTTCAGAGCAAGACCCCAAGACAAGAACTCTGGTTCTGATGTCCTTGGGAAGATTTACCAGAAACTCCCACTCTCGCAGCACATTAACTCCTCAGAGGAAGCCATGCTGATGCGAAACACAACTTGAGTGCGCGAAAACTCAAGGGAGAGAAGAACTCAAGGGAGGACGACTGAGCACCCAGTCGCCCCGCTCACAGGCCACTTGTGTCTACAAGGCGCCTCAGACGGGCCGAGATGCCTCAGCTGTCCAACCAGTCTGTACGCTGAGCTTAGTCAAAGGCGCACAGGGTGTCTCACTCTCCACCTGTCAGAGTGGATGAGGGAGGCAGGGGGAAAGGTGCAGGTACTAACGCAGGAAGCTTCCCCATGTGGGCATGTTCCCAGCACAGAGCAAGGATGGGAAAGGCCTCCCGGGAGGCCACCTGCGAGGAACGTGGGTGAAGAGGACATCTGCTGTGGTAATGTCCTGAAAGGAAACTTTGAAATGAGGACTGAGGTCAGCGTGCCCCTGTCTACCTAAGAATGCAGTAATAACGGGGTGCGTTATTTAGAGAGCTCACTGGCGGCCACACATTGAGCTAAATAAGCACCTGGTGGAATTATCTCCTCCAACCCACTCAGTGACCTGCTTGGGAGGTAAATATGAGCAGTCCCATCATTAGATGAAGAAATCGAGGGTCTGCAGTTAATGGCTACCAGAAGGGAAGGGGGAAGGAGGGCAGGAAAGTCAAGCTAACAGAAAAGTGGATGCGCAGTGAAGGAAGGATCTGGACCGGAAAGAGAACACAGTCGTCACGCAGAGGCTGATGAGCGCCATGTGCCTTCCTCTGTGCCGTAACTCGGTGTCATTCAATGAAAATGCGAAATCAGGCCCTCCCTGGTGGCGCAGCGGGTTAAAGCGCAGCACTGAGAATCTAAAGCTGCTTCCGCATGAGTTCGATTCCCGCCTGCCGCCTGCCCCGGAGGAGACCACATGGCGAGGCAGATTTCTCCTGACCCGCCCGCTGCTCCCCTCAGCAGTGTACTTCGTCGATCTGCCTGTTCTGCTCCCCACTCTGTC